GTTGGGACTGTCACCTGATGTGCTGAAATTACCTCTGAGCCTGTTTCCCCTGCCAGCTTGGGACTCCAGCTCCCTGCCTTGTTGAGTCAGACACGTTAACCAGCTGCAAGGGTCTGGGCCATGTCCCATAGCTGCAGACTAACTAAAAACAGCTCAGCTGTTTACCTATCTCCAGCACCCAGACACCCAGCTCCCAATAGGATCCAAACCCAAAATAAATCCATTTTACTCTGTATAAAGCTTGTACAGGGTAAATTCATAATTTTTTCGCCCTCTATATCATGGTATCAGGGATAGAGAGATATGCTCAGCTGTTTGCTCCCCCAGGTATTAATCATTTACTCTGGGTTTATTAATAAACAAAAGTGATTTTATTAAGCATAAAAAGTAGGATTTAAGTGGTTTCAAGTAATAACAGCCAGAACAAAGAAAGTCTCGAAACAAAATAAAACAAAACATGCAAGTCTAAGCCTAATACATTAAGAAACTGATTACATGTAATATCTCACCCTCAGAGATGTTCCAATGAGTTTCTTTCAACTTCCTATTCTAGGCCCAATCCTTTCCCCTGGTACAGTCTGTGTTAGATCCAGCAGATATCTCAGGTGGTAAGCAGGGGTTTTCTCATGACCAGCATCCCTTTGTCCTGCTCCACCCACTTTTATAGCTTTGGCACAAGGCGGGAATCTTTTCTCTCTCTGGGTCCCCACCCCTCCTTCTAAATGGAAAAGTACCAGATTTAAGATGGATTTCATTATCAGGTGAATGGTCACATGTCACTGTAAGACCCCCAGTCTCCATTCCCCATGGGCTGGCCCACACGTACACAGGGAGGCTTTCAAGTAACTAAGGCCGTTTACAACTGATTGTTTCTGGAGCACCCTTAATGGCCTCCACTTACTATGTTTTTCATCAGTGATACAGGTTTATATCTTATTCTCCTAACTCCAGATATCGAAATAACACATGCAAACAAATAGGATGAACACACTTAGTAGATTACAAGCTTTCTAAAGACACCCCACAAGGGCTATTTAGCATAAAGTATATTCCAGTTATGTCATATTCATGAGCATATTTCCATAAAGCATATGGAGCGCAAGGTCACAGGGGGCTCCAGCCGGTTCTGTTTTGTATTGGAACCCCTAGGTATTGAACCCGGCCCTGGTTGCTGCCGACTCCACCTGGCAGAAGGGTTCCACCTGTCAAGAAAAGCAGAAAAATGACAATAGGTTCCAAGGCCACTGAGAGTGTAATGTGCAAACTGACCGATTGTCTCTGGGAGGTGACACACAAAGCCCCTGGCTACTGTCCCATAGGGATAATGGAGCCAAGGGAAATTCTTCATGGTGCTGACTGCTCACTGGGGATGATCCGTCTGCACTGACAAGGTTTCATATCATTACACTGCAAGAGCCAATGCCTGCCTAGTCCACAGTGAGTGACCCCTGGAGCTCTCAGGAGAGCCAAGGGAAGGGAACGCGGAGGTGCCAGGACAGGACATTCTGTTCTGGTGCTTAAGACATCTAGGATACCCCTGGATAGTGACTGATTCTCACTAACACTTGCAGTGATGTTCCCAGCTGGCTCATAACCAATCCTGAGTCATTCGGGGGACCCAGCTAGAGATGACTGTGTCACAGGCTGGTACTGGAACACAGCAGAGGACCTCTTACCGTCTTGGTGCTGGTGGTGGGGACAGCAGACATGGATAGATCGGATGTCTGAGATTTCGTGCTGAACATTCGGAATCCCTTGATCCATCTCCTGTACTCCTCTCTCACCTGGAGAGTGAGGGACACGGTCACTGCACTATGTAACTAACGCTGAGAAGATCAAACATGGCTGGTGAAGGTGAAGGTGCTGGGTGGGCGCTAACAGGCTGTGGGCATTACCTGGCGATTGAGGAGACAGTGCACCAGGAAGATGAAGGGTCCCTGCAGGCTGTTGAGAATGAAGAATAAATACTGCATGACCACGGAACTTGTGAAGGGACCAAGGCCCCATGTGCAGCCCAGAATGAAAAACTGGGCGATGGCTTTAAAGGTCAGTAACCTGGATAAAGGCAGATGGAGAGATCCTGTTACAATAACCCTATGGAGAGTAATTGGGTCAGGAGGATCTGGGCAGAATGGGGTGGAGCTAACATCTCCGGCTTTCCTGTGTGGGACAGTGTCAATAAAAACACTGTGTTTATTTGTTCCCATGGATCCTAGATATGCTGTTCCCCTCCTGCAATCCCTCACACCCTCCCTGTGCCAAGGACCCTCCAAACCAAGGCATCTGACCCTCCAGGATTTTTTTGTTGCCTTCTCACCTGTGGTCTCTGAGGGTGGACACATCTGCATTGAGGGAGGAGAGTGTTTTTCTGAGGATCCACAGAGTCAGGGCAAAGAATGTTATATTTATCTGTGGGAAGAGTGGGAAATATTTCCTGTAAAACAGCCCATCCGGGGCCGGTGACTCCAGCTGAGGCAGAGAACGATCCCAGGGGACCGAGCCAAACACTGTAGAACCGGGGATGGCTAATTACTGGTGGGAATCATTCCCTCTCCTGTAATATCCCCTGGCAGCTCTCGGTCCCTCCCCATGCATGGAGCTGACAGCACAGCCAGGGCTGAGGTGGCTCAATGGGATCACAGAGGCCAGATGCTGCTCAGAGTTAAATATGAAGCCTCTCCCGTAGAGTCAGTAGCAATTTTGGGTCAGGGAGGGATAGCTCAGTGGTTTGAGCATTGGCCTGCTAAACCCAGGGTTGTGAATTCAATCCTTGAGGGGGCCACTTGGGGGATCTGGGGCAAAATCAGTACTTGGTCCTGCTAGTGATGGCAGGGGGCTGGGAGGAATATGTAGGGACATTTGTTTCCCCCCGCCCACTAGAAAAACCACTGCAGAGTGCAGCCCTCGCCGTTCCTTGGGTCATTAACTAGACTAGATCACACTCTTGCTGTCTTCACTTGGCAAAACTCCTGACGTCCATGGGAGCTGTGCCCGACTAAAAGCTGTAGGCCTGGGGATACAGCACAGGGACTAATCCTGCGAGTAACCCAGTAGATGAGCCAGGTGGGACCTAACTGGGTTTTTCCTTGTATGTTATGGGGAGGGATAGCTAAGTGGTTTGAGCATTGGTCTGCTAAACCCAGGGTTGTGAGTTCAATCCTTGAGGGGGCCACTTGGGGGATCGGGGGCAAAATCTGTACTTGGTCCTGCTAGTGAAGGCAGGGGGCTGGACTCAATGACCTTTCAAGGTCCCTTCCAGTTCTAGGAGATAGGATATCTCCATAATTTATATTTATTTTATATACCACTTTCTCCTCCCTGCTTCACTGAAATCAATGGGGTTACAGAGGTGAGAGGAGAATGGGGCCCTGTGGTTCTGGGAGGTACCCACCAGGATTATGGCAAAGACTGGACCCAGGAAGCTCCAAAGAAAGCCTCTCTCCGGGCTTAGCCAGCAGCTAGCGGGAGGGAGGAAGAAGAAGGTGACGTTAATGGGATTACTGCCCTTTTTCAGCCCCGGGGGCAGAGAGGGGGTGTCACAGGGCAGCTGGCTCTCAAAAGTGAGACGGATCTCAGCCTGCCTGTGACATGCCCGACTCTACTGCGAGTAGCAGGCTAACAGCCCTCCCCATGTACCTCAGCATCTCCTGCTCTCAGCCACCACTTCCTCCTCCACCTCCTCAATGACCTTTCTGGTGGATGGGCGCAGTATTGCTGGAGGGCCAGACATGCAGCGGATGGACATTGGCCTCGCTGCACTGAAGGAAGTGGATCTGCCCTGATTTACACCAGCTGAGGATCTAGCCTGGGGTGTCTAGAACACGCCACGCCCTGTTTTAGTGGAGTCCCTCACTTTAGAGGGGGGATCCTCAGGGATTTGCACACAGGAAGAAGGTGCATTTGTTTCCTGCCCACCAGCCCCACAAATCCAGCCTGGGACCTGGGAGTCAAGCTGGGATCTTTCTGGCTTGTTCTTCTGCATCATCAGTGGGGTGAGCAGTGTAGATGTTTGACAGGTGGGCAACTCAACTGCAGCACTCGGGGCAGCTTAGTGTGATTGGGGATGGGAAGGGTCCCAGGGGGACATTCAGCTCCCAGGCAGGGTGAGCCAGGAAATCTAGGTTCAAGTTAGACCTGGGGTGAGCTGGACAAGCGCATGGAAGCCACATCCCAGCTCCCCTTCGGGATGGGCGCTGCACATACTGTGTGTAAAATCCGTAGCCTTTGTGATTCACTGCTGCAGAAATAGCCACCACCAGGGCTGGGAAGCCGTATCCGAACGGGTACATGAATCTCTTAATGAACCGGCTGGCGCTGGTGTAATTCACGACCTGCAGGTTCCTGACGGTGAGGAAGAGGTGCAGCCCCTCCAGCAACATCCAGGAGAAGCAGGCCAGGAAGAGGAAGTGTAGGAGCGCAGCAATGACAGCACACGCCACCTGGGGGAGACAGAGAGCCCGGGGACACTGCGGTGGGGAAGGGAAATGCTGAGTATGGGGGAGACCTGCCGGGGGGCGGGTCACACCGGGATTCTTGTTAGCACAGCTCTCCAGTCATAATGCTCCATGACCCAGAGACGGCAGGTTCCTCGTTCTATGGAGGGTCCTGCGGGTGCACATTGCTGATGCAGGAAGGGAGCAGAGATTAGTGGTTAGAGCAGGGGAACAGGGCTCAGGGGATCCAGGTTCTTTTCCCAGCCCTGCCACAGAGTCCCTGGGTGACCACGGGCAAGTCACGTAGGAGACGAATTGAGGCACAGGGAGCCTGTGACATAGGGATAGAACTGGCTGAACTCCAGGGGTTGGGGACACTCAGACCACTGTGCCCAGTGTGAAGGGGCCTAAGAGGCTGGAAACATCACCCAGAAACCCCCCTGTGCCCTGCACAGCCCAGAATCCAGGGAGCACAAAGGGGTTCAAAGCCACATGGCCCGGCCCTGCTGTGAGTGGAGAAACAGAGCAGGGGAGAATCGGGCCATAACTGATTGTCGCTCTCGGGCAACGGGTTGAAGATGAACCAGTGGAACACACAGAGGCAGAGGCAGAGCTGCAGGTGGAGGGAGGTGCTGACGTTGCGGATGGAGCGGCAGAGGAGGAAGGTGAGGATGGCGAGCAAGAGGCACAGCAGTGACAGAGTCAGTCCCACGTATTTGATGATGGTCAGTGGGTAATTCTCCTGTAACACAGCAAAGGGACAATCACCAGTGACCCCAGCCCAGCCCCCTGGGTTCCGACTCAGCCTTTTCCCCAGCAAAGCCTCCAGTGGCTCCATGGAGAGCTTTGCCCACGGCTGAGTGCGGAGCTCAGGGTCCAGCCGTGTGATCGAGTCTCACAGTGAGATACCGTCATTGTGGTGGGACCCATTAGGATGGCAAAGCTGGAGAGATGGTCACAGCTGCAGGTGGTGTGAGTGCTGTTCGTGTGCACGGCGGTGCAGCCATTTGGAGACCAGCTGCCGCTCTTGGCCACTACTTTCCAGTAGACGCAGAGAGCCTCGTCCTCCTGTTTTTTAGCCGCTCTACTAGAAGGATGAGGAGGATCGAGTCCCAGCAATGAAAGGAATAAACACAGGATTGCCCTTATCTTGGATGGGGTTTATAGGGGTCACCATAATACTAACAGCAAAGGTTTTTGTCTGGGAATTTCCATATTGGTGATAAAAAACACACGGCAAAATCCTCAACTAATGAAGGATGGATTCAAACGTACCCATGGAGAGAAATTCCTGTGCGTCAATTCTATTCCCTCGAACTCAGCGCCGGAGTTATTGCTGGGGCCTTAGAGCGATGGGAAGAGAGGAGCAGACGTTAGAGCTTTTATATCAGATTTTCATCTCAACTCTCTCCTGGCTGGGGGAAAATCCCCTTCTCTTCCCAGCTAAGATGGCTGCTCTCTGTCCACCTGCCAGTCCTGTGATGCCAAGAGTTTAACATACGGCTGCTACAAAACTCCCCCCCTTCCTGCCCGTGGGGGGAAGGGGGTCACACACGGCTGGGGGCGCACGGGGGGCGAATGACCATGGAGGCACCCCCCACCGATTGCAGGGGGCGTGGTCTGTCGGTCAGTCTTTCTGCTCCATCTAACCCCGCCCATTTAATTCTCCTTTATTCCTTGCTATTTGCAGTGCCCCAATCCCTGTGGCACAAACCCTCTCCCACCCCCCAGATTGGGGGGCCCAACCTTTTCCAGACCAGGACCCTGCTATCCCCTCCCTGCACCAGCCCTGACAGAGCGGGGTTAAGGCGGGGGCCCGATCAGCCAGTTAAGCTGCAAAGGGGAAGTGACTTAGGCTGTGTGCAGGGCACTAGCTAGAAGGAAGCTCGCCTGGGAGGGGACAGGTGGGGTTTCTCCCGAGGGCTGGGCCCAGTGGTGGGGGCCTGAGGCAAGGGGGGCTAGGGAGCCCCGAGGGGGGGCTAGGGGCCCCAGAGGAAGGGTTTCACTAGCAGGCATAGGAGAGAGGGGTCTGACTTTGAAAGGCTCCCCCAGAATGGGGATCACAGCGTGACCTGACCGGACGGCCAAGACACAGGGTAGCTGCGACTCTGGGAGCTGCAGTGGTGGGAGAGAAGAAAGGAGGTGCTGAACTGGAGCGAGTCGCCAGAAGGGGGCTCCACACTCAGAGTTACAGACCCCAGCCCGATGGGTCCCCTCCCCGTTCGGGATACACCCAGCACTACCCCGCCCATGGAGCACTAGGGGAAGGGTGGGTGGGCTGTGCCCAGGGGAGTGCAGGGGAATTGGGTGCTGTCCCTTTAATCTAGTTTCTTTGCTCTCTGGTGGCTCACAGGGGTTGATGGCAGAAGCCTGCAGACCCCCACATGCGGCCAGGCCCTGCACGGCTGGTAAACGGGTTGTTTGAAGCCAGCTGGATCCAGGGGATCCCCCTATTCCTAACACTGCGCAGTGAGCAGCGGCCCGACAACGTCCATTCCCGGACCCTGCTGTGACCCCCTTTAATAAGAACGTCTCCTAAATAAAACAAACACTAAACTAGAGAAGCGGGGTAGACAGCCTCCGTTCCTGGCTAAACCCCGGGGATTATTTTGCCCC